CTGCCCTTTCTGTTGAAATGGCTCTCCTTCCAAATGGCACTTCTTAGTGTTGCCCCTTTGTAGAAATATTTACGCAAAGTGTAAGATCTGGTCACATGACAGATGACGCGATTTGCATTCGGTGTAGCCAAGCTTACATCATGCTGTAGCCTCGTCGGCGGGACAGCTTGCACAGAGGCATACTCCGTGGAAACCGCTTTGCATCAGTGACCGTGTGGGCACAGTCTGGGTGCTAAACCAAACACATACTTGTGGGAAGAGGTTCGATCTGTTGTAATCAGCCACTTAGATCGTGGCCAATGCCCGGGCCTCTTTTAGAGCTGCCCAGGGAGGTCCATATACATGAGATCATTCAAATACCGAGTCGAAAAGTAAAACCATTTGACCCCTCGCCACTTCGACCCTCATTGGTGGGAACTCCACAACTAAGCGTGAGCTGCCGCATCTGTGTACTGGAGCCAGCATTTGGCGAGTCTACAGTCATCGGTCGAGACGTGGTCCATCAATTCCATCCAGCATCCTGTCCTGCATCAAGGATAGATTTGTATCACCCTGTTCTGTGTCTCACAGTTCTATTGTGAATTCAGCCATACGTTTAAGTCTATTCCCACCGGAATCAATCCTGGCTTGTCAAGTTCCCCTCGCGACATTGACATTCAGGAAGTTCTCCAAGCTTCTGGAAATACACTGAGTGGCACTGAACTTTAAGCAAACTAAGCTCCGATAAACAGCCACATTCGTTGTGTGCACAAGCTTTGTATTTTAACCCTTTCGTGATCGGACACTTTTAACCTGGCTATGCTATATTATACTATACAAGCTAACTCATTAAGGCGTCAAGGGGGGGGGGGGGCAGATCCATGTATGACAGGTAAAGGCTCAAGCAGTGGACGCTCTGAAGATGTAGATGATGGCAGACCAGTATCATGGTCTGTTCCTGTATCGGATTGTATGATTTCGGCTAACTCTGAAGATGAATGTGAATGTAGTGGATTGACATGGCTACGTGGATTCTTGGTTGCCACGATAGGCAATAATTTTCCAGTGCTGCTTGTTGTTTTACTTGGCTCCAAGCGCGTTCTCATATCGTTCTTAGAGAATGAGAGAATTCAATCGCAGACACAAGCAGCAAAATCGCTAAGCATACACAACACGTTATCATCTCTGTGTTAACGACATAGTTGGCGTTTCGGATGGCCGTGATGAGATCGATTTGCAGCTGTGTTCGTTGGTTGGCAGGCGATCTGCATTAGCTTCTTCGGGTTGAGTCCGACATTGGAACACAGTATACGGTGATGGGAGTTTTGAAGAGGGTGGTTGTGTCAGAATGTCGTCTAGACGAAGTGAGTGCATGAACACTCGCTGGTGATTCATAAATGCTTGATCGGCAGACGTGGCGAATAGTCCTCTACCGTTGCGGTAGCGTAATAGACCTGAACGACACGCAGTAACTAGGTCAACTTTGCAGCGGGGCTGCCGTAGCTAAGCGTCAGAGGAAGACATACGACTCAAAGAGTCCCTAAAACCAAGTTCCTTATCCGAAGGAAACTTACAGCCCAAGAACCAGGGCTCAAAGTTATTAAGAACACTAATAACTTTTATGCTTCAAAACCAGAAGTGTTTTATTTATCTTTATTGCGGCCAAGCCGCTATCTATGTTTAACTATCTAGCATAGTTAAACCTAATCAAATGCATATCGTGTGGTCCTCAGCCTATGTACTGAGGCCACTGTTAACTCTACGAGTCATGTACTGAGAGTCTGTTAACTCTTCTGGTACTCCGTACCCGTGTGTGCGCCACACCCGGGTAACCCCCGTTACAAACTTGGCCAAGTTCTGGATTCGCGCCATATTGTTCCCCTACAGTGAGATTATGATTGACAATGTGTAAACCGAGTATGCGTAGCCCGACTTCAGTTCGAACATCTCTAGCTAGTAGCTTCAATTTTGGACAATTGGTCTCCATATATCACTGGGTGCTTCAGCTAGCGGTTTACATCGTATAGCGCTTTCTTTACCTGTTTGCACAAGGGCTTACAAATTGGCTTCGTCTTCAACTCACACGAAACCGAGTAATTACATGAAATATATCCTGCTTGACACACCCTGTGTCACCGCAGCTCTTCCCAATTAGCTTTCGAACAGCATTAGCATTATCACCAACAACAACACACTCGCCACCAGCGGGAAAGTGTGTCTTACATCAAGAAGTAGTTTTTCAGTCTCTTCATGATACTCTGATCGCGTCAAACGACAATCCACTATCTGATCAATTTCATTTTTACTGAGACCATCGCCTTCGCGTCGACTAAGCTCTCATGCTATCCGTGTGCGCTACAGACTTTCAAGCGCTAGTAGAACTCCACCGAGAGGTCCATTCTCAAAACGTTCTTTAAAGTAGCTTGACGAATCTCTATTTTACAGAGAGAGCTATTCAACTCCGTGTGATTCAATCATGTGGCCGTAAATGACCCACAAGAGAGGAACTCTATTCGTCGCAAGATAGTTTATCAGTGTAGGTGGTGTAGGTGGGATATGCATAGGGTTTCGACCATAATTTCGATGGATTGCTTAAGCAAATATCAATAGCAAGTGATAATAGCGTTCTGCCGTCGCCGCTCCAACTGGGAAATCGTACTTGCTAGCCCATTCGACGACATAATACCCTCGTGAATTTGCTCCACTAACTGCCTAGACAACCCGGTCTGCTTTCAAGAAACGAAAAGAATATGGATCATCATATCCGGGTTACACTCAGTGTCGCGCGAGCTCAGAGTTGAAAATGTAGTAGAATTGTCATAGTTGCGCTGATATTTGCTGTAAAGGACGTTCCACTTGGACCCCACATTTTCTACAACTCAATGCTTGTATTTTTTTTACATGAGGAGCGCATGAGCAACCAGGAGCGACGCAAAATGGTTTTCCATTGGAGTTCATAGCTTCAGGAATCCAAACTCGTGCAAGCTGAGAAGACAGGTTGAAAATAAGCTTGTATCACAGAAATCATTTCGGGGCAGTAGAGCTGAGGTGGAAATATCTTCTTCGCCAACGCGTGCTTCACTAATCGGCTCCTTTTTCTTGGACGGGATATCTTCCACATCACTAGCGGTGATGCTGGCCTGTTCGGTGTCTCCCACGGGTGACACGAGTGGTACTCGAGGATAAATCCTCCAAAGGGGCAAAATGCCCCCATTGACCACGAAAGAGTTAACTCTTTCGTCGTGCAAGGGCGCAGTTTTTCCCCTTTAACTGTTTTGTGCAAAGAACTGTAGGAATCGGTCTCAAAAAGGACGAATTTTGTAGCCTTTTACTAATGTTCAAGTGACCTCGGGCCGTCTTGTGCAACATTGTAGATACATTTGATCATAATATAATCAAGTTATTGACATGTTTCCGATTGCATGATCATGCCATCTTGAATGATTTGTTACAAGAGATCGTGCAGAAACGTACCGTGAGTTTGTAGAAGGGCGAAAAATGAATCCTTTTAGAAGTAAAAGACTTCGTTTTGTATAGTATAGTTTGGGTAAGAGACTCGCGAAGGGTTAAGTGAATTATTTCCTCGTGCTAACCCGCTTACAAGAGAAAGGATGGAGACACACGACTAAATCTGTACAGCACAACAACTCCGGGGAAATTTGAACACAGCAACATAGAAGCAAAGCACACAGAGTAGTCTTTTTAATTGCACAGCGCGTGTTCCGCAAGACACATCATCCTTAGGGTACAAGACGTAAAGTGACACAAAAGTAGTAAATAGAAGTAATAATGATTTTCGCACATCGTAAAACCAGCAGATGTAACACTCCGAAAAGTAACTGTTTCCTTTTACTTTGGAAATCTTCAATCGATTCAGATTTTCAAAAGTTCAGCAGGGGCAGGAAGAGTGGTGAGAGGGAGCTGCGTTGTACGATCTATACAGCAACATGCCAGGCCTCAGAGCTGAGGAACTCCCGTCAGAGAGACTCTCGGTAGGTAAGCAGATCGCGTACTACTTGAGGCGCTTCGTGACGGGTGACACGCGAGGTCAAAGAGTAGCAGTGGTAATGAGTGTCGACGATACTCCTGGAAACGAGCTACCAGTATCGCTTGACGCTGGAGACTCGCTGCTACTCACAGTCTTCATGCGTCGAAGCCACGACGTCCTGGGAAACGAACTAAACCTAGAGCACGTCAAATGGCGCAAGCTAGCATCCTGTTAGTTCAAGGCCGGAAAGGTTTACGGCCGGCGATGGTAAGCGGTCTGTGCAAGGCCATATCGAGCGTCTCCAACGACGCAATTGCTGTTACGACGGCCTCACACTGCGTGATGAGAGCGACCAGACCCCGGCTGCGGCCTCGGTGGGTCCGTGTGTGAAACAGACCCCGTCGCCAAGGGCCAGTGACTATGTCGACGCTTCCAGAGCTGCCAAATCAGACGCAATGCGCACAAAAAACGCTGCAAGTAAATCAAGTACGTGTATTCAACCTGCTGCGTGTGAGCTAAAACCTGCTGGAGATCGGAGTATTGCCCCGACTCCTGTCATGGAGCTTACACTATGGATAGTATGGGGTAGGCGAACGAGCAGCCTGCCCGCGTGTGTACACCTGATGACGGAGCTGATGAGTCCGTGCTGCCTGCGGATAAGACCAGTGCCTCATCATACAGCTGACTCCTTTCCAGGGTGGAGCGACGGGCATATTTACCCGAGGCTCCCGAGTCAATCAAGCCTCTCCACGGCTTCACAAAGCCCTTCACGTTCGCTTGAACGACCAGCAAGCCTGACTTGCACACTCTTCTTATAAGAGAGCCCAGCTCTCTTCGGGGCTAAGCCCCGTTGTCCTCTACCTCCTCGAGGCACAACAGAACTCCGTTTTTCCCCAGTAGGCCGCCCCGCACCTACTGGGAGTTGCCATTTCCCGGCGATGACCCGGAGGGTTGGCTCGCCGCTTGAAGCGCAGAGGACAGCTCGCCCTCAGATGCTTGGTGCTTTTGCACATAAAGCATCGGCGGATGCCGGCACGCTGCTCCGCAGCAAGAAG